CTTGAACTGTGTTCTCTGGGATGCAGGCCTGGGATGCAGGCCCTGAGGTGCCAAAGGCACCGAGCTCCCGTGTGCAGCCCTGTAGCCTCCTCTCACCCAGGACAATGCCCTCCTGTGCCCTGGTGTCATCATCCCCCTTACACATGGCAACGCTGAGGCTCCCAGGGGGCAAGCAACTGGCCCAACAGCACACGGCTAACCAGAGTCTTTGTCTGAGCCTATAGAGAATGTATCTATTGAGAATGTTCTAGGGCTGTGATGGCGAACCTATGACACGCGTGTCAGGGGTGACACGCGAACTCATTTTTTGGGTTGATTTTTCTTTGTTAAATGGCATTTAAATATATCAAATAAATATCAAAACTATACGTCTTTGTTTTACTGTGGTTGCAAAAAAAGCCTTGCTAGAGACCAGTCCCAGGCACCAGCAGGAAGCTACAGGGAGTGCCTTGCGGCTGGGGAGTGTGTCCAAGGGCCCAGTCACTGAACTTGAAGCGGAGGTTGGAGCCTGACGTTGAACTGTGTTCTCTGGGATGCAGGCCTGGGATGCGGGCCCTGAGGTGCCAAAGGCACCGAGCTCCTGTGTGCAGCCCTGTAGCCTCTTCTCACCCAGGACAATGCCCTCCTGTGCCCCGGTGTCATCATCCCCCTTACACATGGCAACGCTGAGGCTCCCAGGGGGCAAGCAACTGGCCCAACAGCACACGGCTAACCAGAGTCTTTGTCTGAGCCTATAGAGAATGTATCTATTGAGAATGTTCTAGGGCTGTGATGGCGAACCTATGACACGCGTGTCAGGGGTGACACGCGAACTCATTTTTTGGGTTGATTTTTCTTTGTAAATGCAATGAATTCTCCAATCAAAAGTCAGAAAATATAAGTCTTTGTTTTACTATGGTTGCCAATATCAAAACATTTCTCTATGTGACACGGCAACAGAGTTAAGTTAGGGTTTTTCAAAACGCTGACACGCCGAGCTCAAAAGGTTTGCCATCGCTGTTCTAGACTATAACGATAGCCTGCATTTATTTAGCACTCCCATGATAAGCACTGTACAGGTATTGCATTTATTCCTCACAGCAGCCCTGAGTTAGGTACAATTACACGTGACTTCCCTTTTACATGTGACGTATCTGAGGCTCAGAGAGGTTAAGGAACTTGCCTGAGGGCATCCAGCTGGTCTCCGCCTGCGTTTGGCTCAAATAAAGCCGCAGAGTCCTAAGGTTTTGAGAGGGGCTTGGGGTTTTGACCATAACTATATATTCCTCAGCGGATTCATATAAACATCTGAATGGCCTTTTAAGTCAGCTTTGCAAATAGTTTTCCAAAGATGACTCCGCTTGGCAAAAAAAAGGCCGTTGCCCTCCAGTTTCCTGGACAACCATCCACACTCACCCACTGGCTCCCCCTCCTGCACCCAGGGGCCTCAGGGAAGGCAGCGGGACAGGCAGGAGGCAGCTCCTCCTGGGCCTCAGGCCCTCTGGTCTCTGAGGGCTGCATTCTCTTCTCTCCCCTCCCCGCCCTCCTGGTCCCTTCAGCCTGAAGCCAGTTCTCCAAGAGGCAGCGAGCAGCTGTGATGTCTTCCCAGCACCTGGCAAGCGCCCAAGGCCATGGGCGATTTGGAATCACACCTCATTAGGAGACAAACTGTTCCTTCACTTGTCAGGTCCATTGTGTTCAGCATGAGCCAGCTCTGAATCGATCCCACGCTGCAGCCTCCGCCTGCTTTAAGCAACCTGCCCTTGGACAGCGTGAGAGCAAAAAGTGGGGCTTTACATACTGCCCGGTGTCCCCACCGTCCCCTCCCCATCGTCACAGGTGAAGCGACTCGGGCACAAGATGGTGCGGGATGGGCTCCGGGTCCCAGAAACAGCCGCCCTCAGTCAGCCACTGGGGCCCCTGAGCCCCAGGACGGGCCGCTTCCTGGGCTGGGCTCCTCGCTCCTCCTGGCTGGGCCAGCCGAGTGCAGGCCAGACCGCCCCAGGGAGCTGGGAAATCATTACGTCCTTGGAAAAGCCGATGAACAGGAGCAAAATCCAAACCAGCTGTTTTCCTCCTTCGGGCCCAGCCTTTTCTGCACGATCCACCTCTCCACCCATCCTCCCACCCATCCGTGTACATAACCATCTCTGCGCGTACATATCCACCCGTCCATCCCGGCCATCACAACCTAGCCCCATCCAGGCCATCACAACCTAGCCCCATCCGGGCCATCACAACCTAGCCCCATCCGGGCCATCACAGCCTAGCCCCATCCGGGCCATCACAGCCTAGCCCCATCCGGGCCATCACAGCCTAGCCCCATCCGGGCCCTCACAGCAGCAC